TGGCTTTAAGGCCATGACTAATTTCTTTACATTTTCCCCTCAGTGATCCAGACTCCATATATCAGTGGTTCTGGATCAGCAGTCCTCCAGACCTTCTGAGGGTCTTCTGAACAGTCTGACTATGGGACAGAAACACTCGAGTCCTCCTCACCTGAACATTTGGAGAACAGGGGGATGTCAGTCTGGTTCTGAGTCATAAACTGACCTGGGCCCATTACTCGAGAAACATTTAATTTTTGTTTAACTGGTGGTGCTACTGTCAAGGAAGACACAAATGTGATCCAACTCTGCCTGCTGCTTTCCCTGAAGGTTCCCAGAACCTGTCCATCATTTGCTGATCTGGACTGGACCAAAGCTGCTCAACCAGAGCAGACTTTCTGAACAGACAGGCTGACCTGGTCCAGACCAGAACAGACCTGGTCCATCACCCTGCATTAGGTTTTGTATCAGGTTTAGAGTTGTCCTCTGATCAGTGAGGACCTGTGTACCTTCATCGGTTCCATCCATGATGGACACGCTGTCCTCTCGGGACAGGAAGGGGGACTCCTGGAACAGAACCCTCACCTGGAAAAGACAAGTGTCAACAACAAAAACCAACAGGAAGTAAACAACAACAGAGGCAGCTGTAAACAACAAACATCTGTCTGTAAAAGCTGTAGCGTTTGAACTCCTATGAAAAGTTCTGACTGGTTTATTAGTTTTCTGGTTCTGATCCAAACTGGTCTGGCTCTGAGGCCGACAGGTTCAGGACAAATGTTTGATGAGATCTCACTCAGTGCAGGGTTCTAGAGAAGTTCTGTGAGTCAGTGTTCGGTTCTGATAAGGTTCTAAATGCTCTGTGTGGGCGGAGTCTTCCAGCGGAACATTCGTATAAATAATCCAGGTGAGACTCAACAGGTGATCAAATTGTGACGATTGGTTTGGGTCGGTTTTTCCTCCAGATAAATTAAATCCTGATTTAAAGTCTGCTTCTAGTTTAGACTCAGGTGGTCTCTGTCTGATGTTTATTTAATGATCCGAGACAAAGACAGGGAACATCCTCTCAGAACCGTGACGTTCTCTGAAGAACACGTCAGATATTTGTTTGAATTTATGAAACATTTCCAGGATTATCTGAACCCGAACACAAACGGACTTCAAAACCGAACACCTGTTTGAGTTTAATCTGTGCTCACACTGAGACCAGGAGAGGAGCGGCTGATTCTGTTTGATTAGATTTATTTAGATTTTAATGGCGCATTTAAACCCCGCCCCCTCTCAGGGGGTAATCTGCTGAACCAGGTCCAGTCTCATCAGAGCCAAGCTGCAAATTAAATCCTGTTCTGGCTCTCTGCTGCTGACCCGTTAGAGCTGATTAAACACTTAACAACTTTTACTTCTCTGGATCCAGAACCAGGATGAAAAGGAGGAGGAGGAGCAGCCTTCATCAGCTCCATGGGTTTGATTTCCTTTTCAAACTAATAATTTTATTGAAAAAAATTAAAAGGCAGCGACTGCAGTTGAGGCGTGTCTCACTGTGTCCAGCAGCTGGTCAGCCTTCTGTCCAGGCAGCAGTCTCAGACCCGCTGTGGCTTTTAGAACCACAGGGGTTCTGGTCCACATGGAGAGAGGTACACTGGACTTCGCCACATTCAGGAGCTCCATGATACCTGCAGAACACTGAAGACAGAGACAATGGACAGTTAAGACACTTAGCTTTTGTTCTGTTTAGCTCTCAGCTAGTTTTTTGTTAGTTTTAGTGTTTGGATTTTTACTACTTTTAGGTTTTTAGCTACTGTTTTTATACTTATGGCTGATATTCTGCTACGTTCAGCTTTCAACTTGGGTTTGGATTCTTCAACTAACCAACAACTAAGTTTTTCAGAACGCGGCATTCAGTTTCTGTAGTTTGTGTCTCTGTGCTGCTCTCTGTATTTGAACCCAGTCTTTGTGTTTTGGATAATTTTCCAACTCTTTACAATTGTTTTATTTCAGTCATCTTTTGTCCAAGATACCCACTTCTGTCCTCTGCTGGTCCCCTCTGGTCTCTGTACTGGTGCAGTGTAGGGCTGGGCGATAAGGACTAAAATGAATATCTCAATACTTTTAAGATAAATCACGATATACGATATCTCAATATTTTTTTCATTCCATAAAGTCATAACAAATATATATTTATGAGTCAAAGATTTGTCCCATTTGTCACACAGGCACATTTAGGGTGCATTCACACCTGATAGTCCGGTAGACTCGGTTCGGTTGGGGACCAATATTCATGACCTTTTGTTTACATTTGAGCTGGTGCGTTTGCATTCACACTGCACTGTGCAGTCAGTCAACCTGTTGAACCAACCTATTCCCCCGCTCGCCTGTGGGGGCGCTGCACCAAGAACTACTGAAAGAAACAACACAAAAACCTCTGAAGACACATCTTCTTCTGTAAATAAAAACAAAAACGGAGTGGCATCAAGTTTTAGCAGTTTTAGGAGTTATATTTTGTCAATTTTCAAAAATGAACTCAGCATGAGCAGAAGATGAGACAGAAGACCATGGAGAATATTGTTTTTCACACAAGGCAGCTGACGGCTCCATATGACGTCAGAGAAATACGCGTTTGTTTACCCTGTGGAGCGGGTCTGGTCTGTTTACATTCACACTGTGCTAGAACTGCGCTGGAGTTCTCTTCTACCGGACCGAGACCTAGGTTTTAGCCCGGGCCAGAGTTCGCCTTTTTGTTCCGTGACAGAGTTCGATGGAGCGTTCACGCCTCCCCCAACGAACCGGACTTTCAAGGAAAACGAGCTAGAGTTCGATTAAAGCGGACTAAACAGGGCTGGTGTGAATGCACCCTTATTAACAAACAGCTGTAACTGTGCAAAATAAATGTCTAAAAAATAAACTATTTACATATATTAAAGTCTGTTTTATAGACATTTATTTACATATATTAAATAATAATCCTCCCTAGCTGCACCACCTTCACAACGTTAGTAAGCGTGTGTGAAGCAGCATGTGAGAGGCTGTATTCAGTGAGGGAGGAGGGGTCGCATGAAGTTTGCTGTGCAGACGGGCAGAAAAAGGAGAACTTCACAGATTTTCAAGTCTTACAGCGAGAGGTAGCGCAACATTAATATAGCAGTAGCTTATCATATCGCTAAAGACATGGTCCTCAGTGGCTAACAAGATGACTAACATTAGCTGTCTTGTTCTACAGTCGAGACTGGGACCGTGTCTTAAGTGATATGATAAGCTGCCACTTTATTAATGTTGCGCCACCTCTCCGTTCCTCTCATTATGCACAGCACAGGTAAAAGAGTTTCGTACTGTAGTTTGTTTCAGGGAAGGAAACTGAGAAGACTTCACACAGCCGGAGCTGAAGCATGAATGCTCTGCTTTATGGCGCCGTTTTAAATGGTGAAAAAGGTTTGTTGTGCTCGAACCTTTCGTCGGGACTTGTTTTCGGCATCGTCTACAGAAAACATTTTTCTGCTGCTCATTTGACAAATTAAATCTGAACTATCTCCAAATAACAGACCCATTATGTTCTTCCCTGCTCACCAGCTGCTCTGCTCTCTCAATTTTGTGACTAACTGTGGCTGCTACATGCCAGCAGTACCACCCCACCTGGAGAAGCAGGAAATGGGGGCCCGAGGGGGCTGGGTTGAGAGGGAAAGGAAGGGCCACGTGGGAGAATGAAATATAGCAGGTGGATTTTCAAGTATAACACTATATTGTTTATATCGATATAGTCTCATCTTATATTGCAAATTAAATTATCTCTATATTTTTTAAATATCGCACAGCCCTAATGCAGTGGAAGCTTCAGTACCTTCTGTGGATCATCAGCGTACGACGATAGCCCAGGTTTAATAGCTCTGAACGTCTCATGGTCCAGTTTAGGAGCTCCTGTAGAAACAGAAAGACCATGATCATCACCATCATATCCCTGGCCGAGACCTCAAAATGTATCTGCAACTAAGAATTTCTTTATTTAGAGTGACTGGTCCTGGACCTTTAGGTCTGAGACCTTAGTACTGTAAAAGCAACAAGTCCATTCTTGGTTCTGATGTTAACAAGAAACTAAAACAGCCCTCAGCCAGAAGAGTCAGAATAATGTTTAAATACTGTACAATAAAGGCATTTTGTTGAGCTCAGCAGGAAACTTCCTCTAACCTGAATAAAGTACAGTTCTAAAAAGGTTCTGAGATTTGGGTCAGTGTGACCCAACTGCTGAGGTTTAACAAGTAAAAGTCCTGCTTAACGGGATTTCCAGTAGGAACAACGTGGTGATGGCTGCGTGGTGAGGGAGCTCCCGATGGAATCCAAGTAACTTTATGTAAACCCCAGAGCAAACGGAGTAATTTGTACATTTTTAAAGTGACAATGAGAAGGGGGTTAGACGTTCACTTGGATATCTGTTTGACTTTGCTACTGGGCGACGAGGCAGGAGGGAACTGGTGCGAATGAGAGGCTAAAACTAACAAGTAGCGGAGGAGCTAACACCAAGAGAACCACAGCAATGGGCGACCTGGAATTGATCCTCTACATTCGCCTTATAATCTAGCTGTTTTTGCTTCTTTTGTGCCATCTTATTTTAATTTATAAAATATTTATATATATGTACGCCTCTTTTATAATTGTCTATTGTTGTTGCTGTTGTCCATTGTTGTCATCATTCTGTGTTGAAACCAGGTCTCTCTTGTAAATGAGTCCTCGAGGCTCAATGGGATTAACCTGTACAAATAAAGGTTGAATGAATGAAAGATCCTACAAGAGCTGAGGGGATTTTGAAAAGAAAACAAAGAACAAATGGAATCAATAAAAGAAGAAATCGCCAAAGTAAATAAGACTGAGTGAAGCGGAAGAGCACATTGGGAAGCTAGAGGACAGAACTCAGAACACAGAAGAGGTTCTGACCAACATGTTGAAGTTGAACATACAGCTAGATCATCAGCTGATGGAGCTAGAGAGTTGATCCAGGTGTGAAAACATAAGGATTTACAGCGTTCCAGAGGGGGCCGAGAGTGAATGCACCGCAGTGGTGGCATTCATAGAGAATCTCCTCTGCGACGGTTTAAAGCTCTCCGATGATCTGGCTAACCTCCATAATGAACGTGCACATCAATCACTGGGGCCTCGACCACCAGAAGACGTGCCATCTCTCTTCATCCATCCATTATTTTTTACCCGCTTCTTCCATTTTGGGTCACGGGGGTCGCCGGTGCCCATGTCCAGCAATCACTGTGCGAGGGGCGGGGTACACCCTGGACGGGTCGCAAGTCCATCACAGGGACACAGAGACAAACGAGACAACCAACCATTCACTCTCTCACTCACACCTAAGGACAATTAAGAGTTACCAATCAGCCTAACATGCATCTCTTTCCATCATAGTAAAGTTTCTGAGTTTTAAGACGAAATAAGCGATCCTCTAAAAGGTACGGCACAGCAAGGGATTTAGATGGAATGAAAATCTAATTAAGATGGATCATGACTACCCTCACCCGATCCATCAAAGGAGGAGAGAATATGCAGAGGTCTGCAAAGTGATGAGATAGAACAAAGTCCCATTCCAGACGCTCTTTCAAGCCAGGTTAAAAGTGTCATACAAAAATGGGACTAAAATCTATGAAACCCTTGAAGCAACAGAGGATCTGGTGGCCAAAGGCTACGAGGTGAGGATTGTCTACCCCCCCCCAAAGACACTGGTGGAACAGATTTGGCAGCTGACCTGGAGGAAAGCGGTGAGGCGCACAAAGAGGAGAACGACCACTTCTGTCCAAGACGACAGCTATAAGGAGAGGCTGCGAGCTTTCAGACGACCATCACCCGCTCCCCCTGTAAATCAGTAGGCAGAAAGCTGGGGCTGTGCTATGCATCCCATCATTCTTCAATCACTTTTGTGGTTTGTTCCGACTCCCTCTCCCTCTGACCTCAGGGGTAATGGTCATAACTGAGAGGTGAGTTTTATCCAAAAACAATGATATCCCACTGAACAGTCATCTTTGGGTTCAAGTACACCATGCATCTGACAAGGGCCCCTCATGTGAAGGACATGAGGGATCTTCCCCTTAAAATCATCTTCAGAGACACTCACTAGGGTCTAATTCACAGACCCCTACACTGGGAGTCAAAATGTATGTGTTTTGTTTGAATTTAGTTCATGTGTTATTTGTTCAGTTTCTGGTTATGTTTTCTTTCCATTAGTGCGAGGCTTACTGAAATCTGGAGTGAAGTGGTGGGTGGGATTACATAGATGAATAGAACAAGAAAAGTGGCTTCCTTTACATCAATGGCATACTCAACCCAATTAAGAGAGAAAAATATGATCAAAATTAAGGAAAGACCAAATTCAAAAAGCTTTCTTGCAGGAATCACACCTGCATGATGTTGGAACATGCAAAACTAAATAAATCAGGATTTAAGTACGTCTTTTTCCTCCCATAGATCAGGAAGGCGGAGAGGAGTGGTGATTGATTTCTAGAACAGTAAACTTTGAATGTATCTCTAAACACAGAGACAGGGTACATTTGTTTTGGTTAAAGGCAAAATTTATGGTACTGAGGTGAATCTGCTAAATGTATATGTTCCATCATTTAGCAACTGGGACTTTTATAGATTCATTTTTGAACTGATGACAAACTGTCAAGAGTTTCTAATATGCAGTGGTGATTTTAATCCAGTATATACCAGGCTAAACACAAAAACAGATTCCTCTAACAGCAAACCTGATGCAAGCAACATCAGCAAAAAAAATTAAAATTCTGATGAATGAAATGGGAATAGTGGATGTGGGGAAAGAGTTCAATCCTAATTCTTGGGGTTTCACTCACTATGCACCAAGCCATAATGTCTATTCTCGGATATATATTTTTTTTACTTTTAGGAAAGATCTACATAGATTAATGAAATGTGAAATAGGTTCTACTACCCTGTCAGATCATTTCCCTGTGATTTTGACAGTCAACCTGGAGATCAAGAGGAAATTAACTTCCTGGAAGATGAACTCAAACATCCTTAACAACAGTACAATTAACAAAAAACAGACATTTGAAATTGGATCCTACTTAGATCTTAATGACAATGGGGAGGTGACACCACCAATACTTGGGGATGCATTAAAAGCTGTGATAAGAGGCAAGATATCAACAATCTGTTCTCAGGAGAAAATTACTAAACAAAATAAGCTCAAAGAATTGAAAAAAAAAAAAAACTACAAAACTGAACATTCAACAACTCTGAAAAAGGAAACTAAGACAAAAATTTTAGACTTGAAGCAGGAAATATATTAAAAAAAATTTGAAATACAGAAAAAGCTTATTTTGTCTAAGCAGCACTACTACGAGACAGGTGGGAAATCATTAAGGCTCTTATCATACAAATTAGGAAAACAAGAAGCAGACATAAATATTCATAAAATACAGAATCCCTCTACAAAACAATTAGAAACAAGTCCTGAAGGTATTAAACAGTGTTTCCAAAAATATTATGAGCACCTACACACAACCTCAAGCAGCAGATGACCAACAAATATAAAACTTCTTTAGATTTGATACAGCTCCCCAGGGTCACAGAGAGTCAGAATAGTCAACTGACAAACAAGGAAACATATGAAGAAGTAAAAGAAGCGATCACAAAAATAAAGGGGGGGGGGGAGGTCTCCAGGAGCAGACAGCTTCACCTCTGAGTGGTATAAATCCATGCAGGAGCTCTTAATCCCAACTCTGGTCAGGGTGTTCAACTGGGTGCTGGAAAATAATACAACCCCCCCCCCCCCCCCCCCCCCCCTGGAGAGAGGTAATAAATTCTATTATCCCTAAAGAGGGAAGGGATAAATTGGAATGTGGAAATTACAGACCTGTGAGTGTCTTAAACATTGACCACAAATTATTCACTTCTTTATTATCAAAGAGACTCCAGTTCATACTACCACATTTAATACACAATGACCAAACAGGTTTCATTAGACAAAGACAAGCCCAAGATAGTTTTAGGAGAACTTTGTATATCATGAAAGAGATAAAAACACAAAAATTGGACTCTATGATAATAAGTTGAAATGCAGAAAAAGCACTTGATTCTGTGAGATAGTCTTTTCTGTATAAAGTTCTTGAAAAAAATTTAACTTCTACAACATTATCATCAACACACTGGCAGCATTATATGATTAAACCAACGACCCGAATTAAAATCACCAGGGACTTGACAGACTCATTTACAGAGAGGAACGAGACAAGGATGCTGTGCCTCACCTCTCCGCTTCACACTTTCCATTGAACCTTTAAGCCGCTGGATTCGACAAAGGCCCGACATAAAGGGTGTAGTGACTTCAAATGGAGAAACTGGCCCTGTTAGCAGATGATCTTCTAATAGCTTTAACACAACCTGCTCAAACACTCCCAAAATCGACTGTGTTGGAAGAATATGGCCAATATTCTGGTTATAAAATCAATATAAATAAAACTCAAGTGTTAACATTCAACTTTAACCCAACAAAAGAACTAAAAAATAAATATATGTGGAAGTGGGAGAATGATTTTATTAAGTATTTGGGGATTAAACTGCACAAAGACAACTCTCAGATGTTTGGGGTTAATTATCGGCCTTTGGTTTCAAATATAAAATCTGATCTCCATAGATGGAATATAATTCTCTTTCTGAACTTTTATTTATCCAGGTTAGTCTCATTGAGCCACGAGAACTCATTTTCAAGAGAGACCTGTTTAGGGAGCACATGGTGGGGGTTAAGGGCCTTGCTCATGGGCCCAGAGTGGGGCGAATGAGGGTGGGGGCAAGTGTGGGTGTTTCACCTACCCCACCCACAATTTTGATGTTGTCGGGGCCGGGGCGTGAACCGGCGATCTTCGGATCACAAGCCCACCTCTCTAACCTCTGCGCCACCACTC